AGAAGAGACACCAGCTGAAGTTGAGCCTCCACCACCTGAGGAATCAACAGAAGAAGAGACCCCAGCTGATGTTCAGTCTTTACCAGCTGAAGAGGCCCCTAAAGAAGAGGCTTCAGCTGAAGTAGAACCTCAAGAAACTGCAGAGACACTAGTCGAAGTTCCATCTCCAGCAGCTAAAGAAGCACCATCTGAAGAAGTTGCTCCAGAAGAAGTCTCAGATGAAGTTCAAACTCTCCCAGCTGAGGAGGAGGAGGCCCCAGCTGAAGCTCAGTCTCCACCAGTTGAAAGGGTTCTTGAAGAAGATACCCTAGTTGAAGTTCATATTTCAGAAGATGAGTTCCCTGATGAGCTTCAAACACCAGAATCTGAGGAGGCACCAACTGAAGTCCAGTCTCCACCAGGTAAGGAGACAGCTGCTGAAGAAACCCCTGTTGAACCTCACCCTCTAGCAGCTGAGGCGGCCCCAGCTGAAGACCAGCCTCCTGAAAGTGAAGAAGATACTGTAGAAAAGGATCCTACTGATGAACAGCCTCCATCACCTAAAGAGACTGATATTGTACAAATACCTCTAGTAAATTTCTCTGATGAAGTTCAGCCTCTGTCATTTGAACAAAACCCTGTAGATGAGACTGTGGTAGATAATGACTCTACTGATTTACAGTCTGTCCAGGCTAGAGATGATGTACCGGTGATAAAATTAGATTCATTGATTGAGGAAGATGAGAAAAATTCTGAAGAGGCTCTAGAACCAGATCTTCCTCCTGAAGATTCATCTAGTGTCCGGAAAGATCAGACTTCTACAATTGAAATAGAGGGTGTCATTGAAATTGAGCTACAATAAGGGACTTCTCCTCAGTTGTCATCAGGTCTCAACTAAGCTAGCAATCACAAGCTAGGGGGTTCTGGAAGTACGTACTTTAGAAAATAGCTGTAGGTATTTAGAAGTAGGTTTGTGAACTGAGAAATGAAAGGAAACCCCAAGGAGTGGATTGCACCCCTTATTGGAAAATCTACAATAAAAACTAGTGGTTTAAAGTTACTTGTTATTTTCATTCAAATCTAGAGTACATAAAATATCTATTTTGGAATGAAGCAAATCTGTGACTGAAGTCATTACTTAAAATATTACTTCTACACTATACCTTGTTGAAAAGGGTAAAGTATACTCTATTACCATATTTTCTCTTTTTCTACATTCCCTTTAAGGAACATAGACGTTGTAGAAGAAAATGTGATTTCTTTTGCCATTCTGTATCTAATGCAGTTCTATCACCTAATTTTCTTGAATTTTGGTTATACATCTGAAGTTATATTGTGCTTTCTCATATTTTATCATATCTCCTATTTTTCTATACCTGATTCTGAGGTAAGCATTTTTCTGTTTACAGTCTTTTACACTCCCTACCTCCTTGCATATTTTACATTTTTTAAAAAAGATTTATTTATTTACACTTACAGAACTGGGGTACAGGCCAGAGGTATGGTGGGTGAGAGGATTACCAGAGATAGAGTGGGGAGCTGAACAAGCAGATTGACAAAGTATACTGCTGAAGGGTACAGCAGATGGGTTAGGAGAGGTCTGCTGTGCCATGTGGGTCAGCTCCCTGACCAGGGATGGAACTTGGGCTGCAGCAGCTTCAGAGAGCTTCATAATGCAATGCTTTAACCTGTTGTGCCACCAAGGAGAGCCCATATTTTACATTTTAATGTCAGGGTAGGGAAATTTTCTTTGTAAAAATTAGTGAAGACAACCATGAATGAAATATTTTAAAAATGTATGCAAAGAGACAAATAAGCTATATGACCTTGACAACATATTCCTAGTTCAAATTTTGTTTCAAGTCATCAGTCCTTTGGAAACTTAACTTACTTTTTGCACTCTGAACTTGTGATGAAGATAAAAACTTAAAGTTGAATTGCTATAGTTTATGTTATTGACAGCTTATAAGAATAATTATGGATTATTGCAAGACAGTTATTATTAAATGATATTTTGATCGAATGGTTATAGTAAATTTTGGAAAAATATTTTCTCCAGCAACAATTCAATTTCAATGTACTGAAATTGTGAGGTATTTCTTTTAAAAAATTTAAAATTGTTAGTATATTTTTCTATTTAGTGAAAATTCTAGATTGGTAATTCTAAACCTTAAGTTTGATGCCCTACAACTGTTGTTGTTTTTTCCCCTCCCACTCTTTATTATTAATGTAACACCAATCATACCATGTTTTAAAGTGAGTTTTCAGAAGTTTATGATAATTTTTCAAGCACACTCTTTTTATATGTCAGGTTTGAAATTGAGAAAATTTATTCTAGATTTCTTGATTGATCATTGCTTTTTAAACATTACTGAATAAATTTAAATGTTTTCTTTTCTTACATACTTAAAATCTAGTTAAACTTTTTAAAATATGCACCTGTTTTCTAGACTAGATTTTCTATTTCTTCACTTAGTTTTTCAATTATTCCTCACTTTAACATTGTATAATTTTAATTTGTTAGTTTAATATATGTAATGTTGTGAAATAATTGCCACAATAACATTAGTTAACATGAACATCATCTCACTAGTTACAATTTTTATTTTTGGTGCAACAATTTAAAAATTGATGTGCTCTCTTAGGAACTTTTAGGTGTATCAGATAATTAACTTACTGTTTTGTACAATAGATCCCAGAACGTATATCTGGAGATAGTACCCGACCAATTTCTTCCACTTCCATACACACATACACTCACATATATGTGTGTGTGCATATATCCCATTATATATATATATATTTATATTTATATATATATACATATATATGTATATATGAGAGGGAGATTATATATATGTGATATATATATAAGATATATACCTACATATAATCTACATATAATCTCTCTCGTGTGCACACACACACGAATGCACAAGTAGGATTGCTGGTAGTTTTTTTTTTTTAAAGATTTATTTATTCATGCATACAGATCTGGGGTTACAGCCAGAGGTGCAGGGAGGGTAAGCGGATTCACCAGAGAGAGAGTGGGGAGCAGAACAGGCTGACTAATGAAGAAGTACACTGCTGAGGGGACCAGCAGGTGGGTCAAGAGAGGTCTGCAGTGCCAGGTGGGTCACCTCTGGGGCAGGTGGGGATTGAACTCATGCTGAAGTGGAGGGCCCAGTAGTTCTATTTTTAATTCCTTGACGAACTTCAATACTATTTTCAGAATGGCTGTGCCAGTTTTTATTGTTATCAGCAGTGTAAAATGTTTGCTTTTTTTTTTTTTTAAAGATCTATTTTATTTATTCATACAGAACTGGGGTACAGGCCAGAGATGTGGAGGATGAGAGGATTCACCAGGGACAGAGTGGGGAGCAGAACAGGCAGATCGACTAAGTACACTGCTGAGGGGAGCAGTGGGCGGGTCAGGAGAGGTCTGCCAGGCCATGTGGATCTCCTTGGGGCAGACAGGGATAGAACTCATGCGGAGTGGCTTAAGCTTCTTAGTGCTGTGCTTTAACCCGCTGCGCCACCAGGGAGGGTCCTAACATGTTTGCTTTTAAGACACATTCTTGCCAGAAAATATTTTTTTTCCTTTTTATTACAAACATCCTAGTAGGCATGAGTTAGTATCTCATCAAGTTAATGTGTAAATCCTTCATGGCTAGTGATGTTAAGCGCCACTTCATGTGCCTGTTGACTATTTTGTCATCTTTGTGACCAGGTCTATACATTTTGTTCATTTTTTCCCTATGGGGTAATTAATATTAATTTTGCCAATGAGTCATATGGGCTCCTTGTGTATTTTGGATAAGTATGTTTTACAAATTTACCTTTCATCCCATAGGTTGCCTTTTTGTGGTCATTATAATTTTTTTTTTTGCTCTGAAAAATCTTTTTAATTTATCTAGCTTGACTTATTTTTATTTTTTGCTGTCTTTGCTTTTGGTATGTATTCCAAAAACTAATTTCCAAGACCAGTGTCAAGAAGCTTACCCCTGGTTTCCTTCTAGGAGTCTTATGGTTACCAATTTATATTGAAGTCTTTAATCCACTCTGAGTTCATAGTAAGTAAATAGTGATTTGATGTGGTCCTCTTGAGTATTGTTACCCATTTTCCCCAATACATTTCTTGAATGGACTATCTTTTCTCCTTTGTATATTCTGGCTCCTTTGTCTTAAAATTGACTTCTAAATAGTGTTTTGATTTTATTTTAAATTTGACTTTTAAGATATTTCTCCTACTTGATAGCTAGCCTGTAAGAATACAACTGACATTTGTGTGTTGATTTTGTTTCCCACAACTTTATTGAGTTCATTTGTCTTAAGTATTTTTTGGTGGAGTATGGTTTTCTGTAAAAAAAAAAAAAAAAAAAGAGGTATGTCATCTGCAAACAGACAATTTTAATTCTTCCATTTCTATCTGAATATCTTTTTTTTCTTTTCCTTGTTAATTGCTTTGGGTAGGGCATTTCTAGTACCATGTTGAATAGAAGTGCTTAGAGTAGGCAGCTAGTGTTCCCCTAATCTAAAGGGAAAACTTTCAACTTTTCTCTTTTGATTATCATTACTCTTTTGTGTTCTTTATTATGTTAAACTAATATCTATATCCAATTTGTTGAGTTTCTAATCATTAAAGGATGTTTGTTTTGTCAAATGCTTTTTCTACATCTGTTGAGATGATCATAAGATTTTTATTTCTCATTTGTTAATATGTTTTATTATTGAATTGTGTATGTAGAACCTTCTTTGCAACCAGAGATACATTCCACTTGATTATGGTGTATATAGTTTTAATATGCTGTTGAATTCAGTTTCCTAACATTTTTTGAAGACCTTTAGCCATGTTGGTTCATCAGGGAATTGGTTTCTACTTCTCAGACATTGATATCAGGGTGATGCTGGCCTGCTAACATAAGTTTGGAATTGATTTCTTCAATTTTTGTAATCATTTGATGAGGATCAGTACTTAAACATTTGGTGGAATTCAAAAGAAGCCACATAGCCCTAGGATTATTTTTGTCAGAAAGTTTTGATTACTGAGTCATTCTCCTTCCCAGTAATTATGTTGATGAACTCCTTCAGCTCTTGCTTGTCTAGGGGACTCTTTATCTCTACTTCAGTTCTGAAGGACTGGTTTCCCAGGTGGTGTATGTAATCTTGCTTGGCATTTTTTTTCTTTCAGCACTTAGAATATAAAATTACATTTCTTTTGTACCTGAAAGTATACTGCTTAAAAAGTCTGCTTAAATTCATACTTGAGTCTTACTGCACATAACAAATTATTTTTCTCTTGCTTCTTTTATATCCTGTCTTTGTGTTTAGCTTTTGATAAATTACTTATAATTTGACTCATATTGGATCATTTTGGATTCCTCCTCTTTGCTACTTTTCAGACTTCATCAGAATATCTGAGATTCCTCAAGGTAGGAAAATTTACAGTCATAATTTTTTGTATAAATTTTCTCCTGCTGAGATCCTTAAAGTACATATATTGGACTGTGTAAAAGTGTTCCTTAAATAATTTTAGCTAGCTTCACATTTTTCTTCCTTTGATTGGAATATTTTCACTGCTCTATCTTCGTCCACATGATTTAATCTACTATCAAATATCTCAATTGAATAATTCCATTATTCTTTGTATAACTTGCTTGATTCTTTTAAATGCTGTCTATTTCACTTTGTTCATGTGTTATACTCTTGACTGCAATGAGTTTTCTGACTTTAGTTTTGAAGTTTCTGTTAGGTAGACAATCTTTTCACTTACATTAATTTCTAGAGGTCAATCTTTCTGTTTTTTGGAACATGTTCTCTCTCTTTTTTTTAATTTATCTTGACTCTATATGTGTTTTCTGA